GGTACGGTTCATCCCAATAGTAGTCTTGACAATCCCATTTGAGCTTCTTCCTTTGGTTTGAAGAGAACTCAACCGGAATGATACCACTCACAAGATAATTTGCTAGATCCGCGAACCAAGGCACCTCTTTCATTGAAATAGCCAAGAGTTGCTCATTAGGGAAGGAGTCATTGATTTCAAGGCCATCATGTGGCCTCCCCTCCTCCTCCAAACGAGACAAGTGGTCCGCCACTTGGTTTTCACTCCCTTTTCGATCTTCGATGTCTATATCAAACTCTTGGAACAAAAGTAACTATCTCATCAAATGAACTTTGGAATCTTTCTTGCTCATGAGATAACGAATTGCCGCATGATCCGTATGAACAATCACTTTTGCACCCATCAAGTATGGTTGAAACTTCTCAATGGCAAACACAATGGCAAGAAGCTCTTTCTTCGTAACGGTGTAGTTGACTTGGGCATTATTTATGGTCTTGCTTGCACAATAAACCGGATGAAAGATCTTGTTGATGCGTTGCCCCAAAACAATCCCTACCGCTACATCACTTGCATCGCACATGAGCTCAAAAGGAACACTGCAGTTTGGAGCGGTGATAATGAGAATAGTGGTCAACTTGAGGTTTAGCAACTCAAAGGCTCTCATGCACTCATCATTTAAATGAAACTTGGCATATTTCTCCAAAAGAATGAACAACGGGTTCACCACTTCAGAGAAATCCTTGATGAAACGCCGGTAAAATAGTCCTATCCCTAGCAGACACGGAGAAACAAGATGGAAAGAGGACAACAAAACTTCAGTGCGTAATCGAATAGGGATATATTCATAATTGGACAGTTATAATAATATAAAATTCTCTACGTACTGAAATAGTATATCCGAAATTTACGAAAAATCTTTCATTTTCTGACAAATTTATATACTGTATAATGTAAAGTACTTCTTATGTTAAGGAAACTATCTTTTACTTGTTATTTTAATACAATATTAGATGGAGACAGACTTAAGTGATGTGACGTAGCTAGAAATTAATTTTATTGAGAATGTTTAAGATTTAATATTATATATAAAAAGTAATAATTTTTCCGTAAAGAGTGTTCTTACCATTCACCATAAGCCATATACGACAGCAAAACGAACCTTACCAAATCTGGGTTCAAAAATCTCTTCATGTGTATATTAGCTACGGACAGACGACAATTCTATTGAGAATTAAAGGGGATTTAGCCATTTAGGTTTTAATAGTACTTTATATACATAAGGGTAAACGTATAAATATAAAAAATCCTAACGGGTTAACGATTTACCAGATAAGAAAATTGAGTAATCCGCCCCCAAACCGTTAAACTGTTAATCATAAAATCTCAATCCGTTCACCATCATTACCCCGATAATCCGATACCAATAAGCCAATAAGCCATCGGTTGGGTTCGGTTAATGGTTTTGGTTCGGTTTTGAACAGCCCTATTGCTAACACTTTGTCCAAGTTTGCTAGACAATTATCAAAAAAATCCCCGACCACCGAAAAGTCATCCATGAAGACTTCAAGAAAATCCTCCACCATGTCCGTGAAGATAGCCATCATACACATTTGAAAAGTCGTAGGTGCATTACACAACCTAAATGGCATCCGCGAGAATGCGAAAGTAGCATAAGGACATGTGAAAGTAGTTTTCTCTTGATCCTCCGGAGCAATAAGAATTTGATTACAGTCGGAATACCCATCAAGGAAACAATAGAAAGCACGGACGACCAATCTATCAAGCATTTGATCTAGGAAGGGAAATGGGAAATGATCCTTCCTTGTGACTTTGTTGAGCTTGCAATAGACCATACACACTTTCCACCCGATCACCGTTCTTGTAGGAATCAACTCATTCTTGTCATTAGTGACCACCGTCATGCCCTCTTTCTTTGGGACACATTGAACCAGAGAAGTTCACAAACTATCAGAAATGGGGTACACAATCCCATCATCCAACCACTTGATGACCTCCTTTTTGACAACCTCTTGCATGGTTTCATTGAGTCTCCTTTGATATTCAATAGATGGTTTGGCACCTTCCTCCAAGTTGATCCTGTGCATACAAAATGCGGGGCTTATCCCCTGAATATCTGCCAATGTCCATCCAATATCCTTCTTCCTTTTTTGTAGAACCGCCAATGTGGAATCTACCTGCATGTTAGTCAAACAAGAGAAAAGAATAACCGATAAAGTAGAAGAAGGGGCAAGAAATTCATACCAAAGATGTGGAGGCAATGGCTTCAACTCCAAGATGGGAGGCCCCTCAATTGAAGTCTTTGTTGGAGGAGTGGTTCTATTTTCAAGATCCAAGGACAATTTGCGGGGCTCATAAGTGTACGACCCCATCCCTTGCAAAGAGTTCACACATTCCACGTAACCCTCCATTTCTTCATCATCACAATTGAGCAAGACGGCCTCCAATGTATCATCAACATTCATCACGACACTTGTTTCATCAATAATCACGTCGGTCACCAAGTCCACGAAAGAGCACACCTCATTGCTATTGGGTTGCCTCATAGACTTACACACATGGAAAACCACTTTTTCATCACCAACCTGGAAGGTAAGTTCTCTGGCTTCAACATCAACTAGCGCCTTCCCCGTAGCAAGGAAAGGTCTCCCAAGAATGATCGGCACCTCATAATCCACCTCACAATCAAGAATAACAAAATCCGTTGGGAGAATAAATTTATCAACATGAACCAACACATCATCAATGATACCCAACAGTCTCTTCATGGAACATCCGCCATTTGTAATTTCATAGATGTGGGTCTTGGTTGCCCAATCCCCAAAGTCTTAAAAATCGAATAGGGCATCAAATTGTTACTTGCGCCAAGATCACAAAGATCTTTAGCAAAGTCGACACTTCCAATGGTACAAGGGATTGTGAAAGCGCCGAGATCTTCCAATTTAGGAGCCATTGAATGCACAATTGCACTCACTGGATTAGTCATCTTTATAGTTTCACAATTCGTTGACCTCTTCTTTGTCACCAAATCCTACATGGACTTTGCATAACCGGGCATTTTCTCCAAATCCTCAACCAATGGCACATTAATAGATAGACTTTTTATCATGTCAATGTAATTTTTTAATTGATTCTCGCCATTTTGCTTGGAAAGCCTTTGAGGATATGGAGGAGGAGGCCTAGGTATTGGTGCCTTAGTCTTTGGCACTACTGGTTTTGGTATGTCAACGATGTGCTCCCTAGACGGGTTCACTTCTTCTTAAGTCTCCTACACATTATCATCAATATCAATCTTCACTTCATGATTTGCTTGCACCTCATTGTTCGAGATCTCATCTTCTTGTACCACTCGCTCATCATCCACAATTTTCTTTTGACTTGAGGTGGTTGCATCCCTACCTTTTCCACTCCTTGTAGTAACGGCCATGGCATGTCCCGTGTTGTTCCCACCCTTTGGGTTCACCACCGTGTCACTTGGTAGTGCCCCCTTAGGACGAGTGTTTAAAGCTTGCGAGATTTGCCCCAATTGAACTTCCAAATTGTGAATTGAAGTGTTGTGAGAGGATAGTTGGGCATTGGAGTCAGCATTCTTCGCCATCATTTGATTGAACATGTTATTAATTTGTCCCATCTCATTGTTGGAAGAGCTTGGACCATGGGAAGGATAATGAGGCGGGTTTCTCGGTTGTTGATACATCGGGGGCCTTTGAAAGCCCGACCCCCGATTGCCTTGGTTATTGTTCCATCCCCCTTGGTTGTTGCCTCCCCAATATCCTTGATTATTGCCACTCCAATTTTCTTGGTTATTTTGACCATTCCAATTTCCTTGATTGTTCCAATTCCCTTGGTTACCACCATTCCAATTACCTTGGTTGCTAGAATTCCAATTCCCTTGATTACCTTGAGGCCGCCTTTGTTGTTGATTCGGGCCTTGAGAGTTGTTTCTTTGCCCTTGGAAGTTGTTCACATATTGTACTTCCTCCTCTGGTTCATTGTAAGATTCATCTTGATCAAACCCACTATTATTTTGTACATAATTTTCCACACGGTTTTGCACTTAAGGACCCCTTTGCCTTCTCTTGTTTACCATCATACTAACCCCCTCCATTGCTTTAATTTGCTTAGGACCTTGCACTTGTTGAAGTTGAGCTTTGGCTAATTGATTCATTGTGGTGGTCAACTCGGCAATTGCTTGCCCATGATCAAGCAATTCTTTATGTAGGTGAATCACGTTAAAAATCACCTTGAGGAACATTTGCTCTACTTTGCATGCCGGTGAAGTATCCACCATTTCATCTAAGATCTCACAAGCTTTCGCATATGGTGTTGTCATGAAATTTCCACCGGCAAGTTGGTTGACCACGCATTGATTGGTAGTATTGATCCCCCTATATAAAGTTTGTTGAATCATAGCCTCCGTCATGTCATTGTTTGGGCACTATTTCACCATAGTTCGGTATCTCTCCCATTATCATGCAAAGGCTCATTGGGTTCTTGTTTGAATGCTAGAATCTCGTCTCTAAGAGTAGCCATATGCCCCGGAGAAAAGAACTTGGAAATAAATTTCTTCGCCAATTCATCCCATGTATGGATGGAATGGTTTGACAATCTTTCTAACCAATCCAAGGCCTTCCCCCATAGAGAGAAAGGAAATAGCCTCAACCTTAAAGCATCCTCGAAGACGTTTGTCTGTTTACTCCCCTAGCAAGGGTCCACAAACCCCTTCAAGTGTTTGTACGCATTTTGATTCGGAACCCCGATGAAGAATCCCCGTTGATATCGCAATGTGAGCATAACACTTGTGATTTGATAGTTGTCCGCCCTGATACGGGGCGGGACTATAGAACTTGCATACCCTTCATTTGGAAACACCCTCTGTGGAGCCGCTCTTGGTGGAGGTGGGGGTGGAACGGGAACATTATCTTGAGGTGGTCGGCTTGGAAGATGACGAAATTGAGTCTATGTTAATAAAGAAGTTCGAGGAAACTCTATCAAAAGAAGCAATGATATGGTATCGCAACTTACCCCCAAATTCTATTGATTCGTTTGCTATGCTTGCAGATGCCTTTGTGAAGGCTCATGCCAGGGTAGTCAAGGTTGAGAGCAGGAAATCGGACCTTTTCAAGGTTAAGCAAAGAGACAGTGAGATTCTCAGGGAGGTTGTGTCAAGGTTTAAAATGGAACAGATGGATCTACCTATGGTTGCGGATGATATGACCATTTAGGCATTCACTCAAGGACTTAACCCTCGAAGTTCCTTGGCTTCGGAGCAGCTAAAACAAAATTTAGTAGAATACCCGACAGTAACTTGGAGCGACGTCCACAACAGATACCAATCAAAAATCGAAGTCGAGGACGATCAACTCGGAGCTCCTTCTGGGTCCATTTATCCCGCTAGAGCCGACGATAGGTCTAAGAGAGTCGTTGACCATGAATCAAGATCGATCCGAGACTGGTATCAACCATACAGTAGAGATCGAAGGGGAAACGGGTCCGGTCGTCACCCTACGAGGAACAAAAAGAGAAGCGATCGAGGGCCTAGTAGCCGAGGTCTAGTGAGAAAAAATGGTTTCGACAGGCCACTCGGGGCCAGGGAGGCACCAAGATTATTGGAATATAACTTCAACGTCGATGCTGCCAGTATCGTACCAGCCATCGGGCGCATCAATGATACCAAGTGGCTTCGACCATTGCAGTCCGACCCTACCCAGAGAGATCCTAACTTGATGTGTAAGTATCATGGTACTCATGGCCATAGGACTGAGGATTGCCGGCAATTAAGAGAAGAAGTCGCCGGGTTGTTTAATAACGGGCACCTACAAGAATTGCTGAGTGAACGAGGCAAAAACCACTTCAGAAATAGGAGACACCAACAAATAGACTGAACAAGAGGGATCTTAACACATCATTATCATGATCATTGGAGGGGTCGATATCCCTCAAGGGCTGATAAAACACGCTAAAGTATCTATCACGAGGGAAAACAGACCCGAGATTATATCCCGAAGGGAACTATTTTGTTCAACGACGAGGATACCGAGGGCATTGTAGAACCTCATAATAATGCACTGGTAATATTTGTAATTATCAATAAATCTTGAGTTAAGCTTGTGTCGATTTATCCAGGGAGCTCGGTCAACATCATCAGATCGAGGGTGATAGAGCAGTTAGGGTTACAAGAACAAATAGTGCCCGCAGTCCTGGTGTTGAACAGATTTAACATGGCATGCGAAACCACTAAAGGGGAGATAACCCTACCATAGAACACCGCCAAGACCATCCAAGAAACAAAGTTCTATGTGATCGAAGGGGACATGAGATATAACGCTCTATTCGGAAGACCATGGGTTCCCAACATGAGGGCGGTACCTTCAACCTTACATCAGACGTTGATGTTCCCTACACCAGGAGGAAGTAAGATGGTATACAGAGAACAGCCGGCTGCAAAAGAGATGTTTGCAGTTGATGAAGTACTCCCGGTGCCCACATGCTCAACATTAAGGAACGCGGAGCCGACTAGAAAGGTTGAAGTTAAATAGCAACTGCCGATGCCGGTCCCGGACAGACCGGAGGAATGAGGAGCTGATGAGGGGTGATTACGGAGTCCCGAGATCATTCATAGCTCTTGATGATACTGACGCCACCAAATCAATGGTCTAAGAGTTGGAGCAAGTCACATTGATCGAACACCTGCCGGATCGAAAGGTATACCTGGGCACGGGGTTAACCGCTGAGCTCAGGAAAGAACTGATTAGTTTTTTAAAGCAAACATAGCTTGTTTCCCTTGGTACCATCTTGACCTGACAAGGACCCCCCCGGAGGTAACCACTCATAAGTTGAGTTTGGACCCGAAGTTCCACCCAGTTACATAGAAGAGGAGACCTTGTCTGAGGTCAAACATGCATTCATCAAGGACGAGGTATCTAAACTCCTTAACATAGGGTAGGGCTGCTTGTCGGGCGGATTGGGCGGTTATTTACTCTTAACGGTTTGGCATATCGGTTATCGGCTTTTAAATGTATTAATCCGCTAGCCACCCGATAAGATATCGGGCAGATTGGTATCGGTTTAGCTCTTATCGGACGGTTATCGGGCGGTTTATCGGCCTAATTCAATCTATATTGCACATGATGCTCTTTGAGTTCAGAGCAGACTACATTCCAGTCTATAGAATACAATAGATGAGTCCATTACATCCCTAAGCAGACTACATTACAGATGAGTCTAGAATACATATGTCTTTAGTACCTCAGTTGTAAAATGTGAAGAAGCAAGAGGCTCCAAATATTCATTAAAAGTCTTCTTGTAGAACTCATTGTACTCCTCTTTACTTACTTCCTTAGGACTTCGAAGTTGGAAAAGGAAAGACAGTAACTCACTATATCAGTAAGAACAAACTTTTGAAGCATAGCAGCAGGAGATAGTAATCTGGAGACTAACCCATATTGGTTGAGTCTCATTTGTAAGCTCCCAGTCCTAATATTTCTCCACAATTTTTTTGGTCTTCTTCTTTTTCTGTTGCAGAGAATTGAAAACTTCATCAGAAATGGAAAAAGACAACAGCAGAATCAACAAAGCTACCCCCAGAATATGTACTACTCCTAGCTACCTCAGTTGTCGCATCTTCTCCTTTCTTCTTGGCTTCTGCCGGATCCTCATCAACTTCAACCCGTAAAGAGACAATATCACGGAAACACAAGGTGATAAGGAGTTATATCCAGTTACATACCGTGGAACGTAAAAAATGTAAGACCCCAAGCATGTTTTGTGGCCGTAGATAGAAACAAGTGAATTTAGGCGTTAGTGTTTCTAAATGTCTAATAGTAAATTAGTACTAATAGAGAATAGAGATAGAGTACTGGAAGTGGAAGAAGGGTTTTTGACTATTTAATATATATATGGATAAAAATAAATTTTATATGTATATATATATTCTTAACGGGTTAACGGATTATCCGTTAAGAAAATTGAAAATTTCGCCCCCAAACCGATAAGCCGTTAATAAAAAAATTTCAATTCGTTCCCTGTCCGTTAAACCATTAACCCGATACCAATAAGCCATTAAGCTTTGGTTTCGGTTCGGTTTTCGGTTTCGGTTCGATTTTGAACACCCCTAACATAGAGTCCATTTAGGAAGTTAAGTACCCAGACTGGTAGCTAACGTAATGGTAGTACCTAAAAAAGGAAGTAAGATAAGAATGTGTGTTGATTACAAATACTTGAACAAGGCATGCCCTAAGGATTCTTTTCCTTTGCCTAGCTTCGATCGGATGATCGACGCGACGGTCGGGCCCGAGATACTAGCTTTCTCGATGCCTATTCCGAGTACAATCACATTTCGGATGGACCCGGACGATCAAGAAAAGACTTCTTTTATCACTAAATTTGGCACTTGTTGTTATAACGTAATGCCATTCGGATTAAAAAATGCTGGTGCCACATATCAACGCCTAGTAAATCGGATGTTCGAAGAATAGATAGAAAAATCAATGGAAGTTTATGTTGATGACATATTAGTCAAGTCCCTGCGAGCAGAGGACCATTTGAAACATTTGTAGTAAACTTACGACATATTAAAAAAATACAATATGAAGCTGAACCCGGAGAAGTGAGCATTCGGGGTCGGATTGGGAAAATTCTTTGGGTTAATGGTATCCAAATGAAGGATCGAGATCAATCCCGACAAAATCAAAGACATAGGATACATCACCGTGGTAGATAACGTCAAGGTCGTTCAGAGACTGACCGGGCGTATAGCCGTCTTGGGCCGGTTCATATCGAGGTCCTCGGACAAGAGCCATCGGTTCTTCTCACTGTTGAAGAAGAAGAAGAAGAATTTTTCCTGGACCCCGGAATGCCAACAAGCATTGCAAGAACTCAAACGGTACCTACCGAGTCCGCCCCTACTTCACACCCCGAAGGTGGACAAACAACTATACCTTTACTTGGCAGTTTCCAAGGTAGCGGTAAAAGGAGTCTTAGTTCGGGAAGAGGAAGGTACTTTCCTATTTACTATGTCAGTAGAACTCTTGGTAAGGCCGAAACAAGGTATTCTCACCTGGAAAAATTAGCGCTCGCTTTGCTAAGCACCTCCAGGAAGTTAAAACTGTACTTTCAATGTCATCCCATATGTGTTGTAATCTCTTACCCACTAAGGAACATCATGCACAATAGGAGTGTTCATGGTTCGGTTTGGATCGTTTTTCCCTAAAAAGAAACCAAACGCCGGTTTTTCAAATATTAAAACCAAATAAAATAAATTAAGTCGGTTTTGTATCGATTCGATTTATGTCGGGTTTTGTCAGGATTTTGATTTTTTCGGTTATTAGTCGGTTTCTTCTTAAATATAAGACATACACTATCAAACACATATTCCGGCGACCGCATTTCAATGTAACACTATCAAATCAATTGCCCTTTGAGAAATCTGTCATTTACCAAGATATATTGATGATAATTGAATCAAATAGTGATGAATAATTCAAGGACTCAATTAAAAATAGATTATTTTTAACATGAAATAGATTCTTATACTTAGCAAAAGAAAACAGCCAATCAAACTAGAATGCAAAGGCAAAGAATTGTACTAAAAGTGCAAATAATTAACATATACCATAAAATTTTAGAAATTTTGTACAAAAATATACATATATATAGGTGTAACAA